CATGATGCGATTCGATGATTCAATATGACGCTGCGAAGCATGCAGTGGGTTCTGATTTTTGCTCATTGATTTCGAAATAATTTTGCAGATTGATCTCGATGAACTCATCCTTAAAGTGGTTGCCATGCATCAATCAGTTACGACCGTCCAGACAGACAAACTACTATTAGACTGTCGGTAGCAATCGTGCCAAAGGCTGTAACCCCTGGCCGCCGATTAATCGTGTCAGCGCCGTCTGGGGAACGGAGCTTCGAGTCCGCCATCGGGCACCTTGAAGAGCCGGATTGAAACAACAAGGGGCAGTTTCATGACGACTAAATATTGGATGAACCTATATGTACGATGTCAACTCGACACCTGACCTCACCTGACCTCCTCAAAATATATCCCATCAATTACTGAGCATAGTATCGGAGACTTGGTACCTGGTAAAGCGACCTTTTCCGAATTGTTCCTTTTTTTTCTTTTTATTTGTCACTATTTTGACCGGCATACCAGATTATACCTTGGCAAGCATAAGATCCGTACACAGAGAGCTCAAAACTCGAGTTATGGTCCGTAAATCTGTATAAATACGAGGTTGTTTTTTGTCACTATTAAAACCATTGTTATCCCCCGATTCACCGCATCAATCGATTCTTGGTTCAGTAGACGCGATTTTCCTGTAGATTTCTATAGACGTCTATAATCACTGCTAGACGATGTCCTCGACGCCGTCCCAACCTCATCCCAGTCTGGGAGTTCTCCCAAACATGACTCACCTCATCAACGGTCTTTCTACCGCAAGCTCGAGGGCTAGTAGCGAGGCATCCTTGCAACGCGTCAAGAACCTGCCAGGTTATACTACCCCAGTCTTCAAAGGCAAGGAAGAACAACGCGCCAAGGTGCAAGCAGATGTCGCTGCCAAGGTAATGCAATTTACATCTCTCTGAGTCACGGCGAGCATTAATATTTGCGTCACATCCATAGGGTTTCATTCCTCGCGAGCTGGTCGCAAATGAGGTCAACTGGTTCTACTCTCAGCTCGGCATCGATGACACCTACTTTCAAAATGAATCGCCCTCTGTAATATCTGATCACATCATCGCACTCTTTGGTGCTAAGGTGCTCGCCTACACTAAGCATGATCTCAATAAGCTCGTCATCGACCTCGAGAAGATCGACGAGAAAGGAAATGGGGCGACTTTCATTCACACCAGTTTACCGGGCCTAACTTCTACCGAAGGGCCTGGCGCTACCTGCGAATCCAGGTATGTTTATCTGATGTGGCTCACAATTGCTATGCCAATTTTGTGCCTGACACAGAATCGACTCCTTATACCTCGACAACTCAACTCCGTCGAATTGTTACCGCCTTGAGACTTTCCGATCCACTGGATCCATATCGGCAACAGCATCTCAACAGCTGCGCTGTTACTTCATTACCAAGTGCAACTTTCCTTCCCCACCACCCCCCTCAACTCGGACTGATGGACTCACCGATATCCGTACGGTCTCTGACACTGCTTTCCTTGAGAAAGCCAGCCCGCACACTCTTGAAGTGTACCAGAAAATCATGTGGCAAGTCGAGAGCCGCTACGGTCCTGTCATGGAAGTATTTGAAGTTGAAGGCACTCGTGAGAGGCGTCTTGTCATCGGATACAAGATGGGCGGGACTTCCCGTTTCTTTAGGTGTGTTAACCTATTTATGTTATAGCACGGTAGCCTTAAACTCATTTGCAGCGCTCTATCGAACCTCTATCACTTTTACCAGCTGTACTCGGCCCGCAAGTATGTAGAGCAATTCTCCAATGGAATCACGATCATCTCTCTATACCTGAATCCGATGCCTAACTCAACCGGCGCGCCGATCGAGCACTCCATATTCCAGGTGATGAAAGAAGCATCCCTGCTTTACTGTCTTCCCGACAACCCCTTTTTCCTTGATTCTGTCAACTCTGGACATGCTGTGCAAGAGGCGACCTATGCTTGTATGCTCAATATTTTTGAGACAGGAATCGAGTTAATTGTTCATTAGATTGTGGTTGGGTTTTCGCTCAACACTTCTGCAATCGCTTGGGTCCTGCGTATCTCCACCTCAAGAATATCCTGGATGATTCGAACCCCTTACACGCCGAAGTTCTCAATGATATCAAGAGACGCTTCAGGGAGGAGACTTTCACGCGGGAGAGTATTGCTCAAGTTATCCATGCACACGCGGAAATTGTGCGTTGCCAGTTTCGCTTGGGATGTCACATTAATATCTTTCCAACAGATTCATCTCCTCTATGTTAACTTCGCCATGGTACATTATCCAGCTGCAGATGAGGCATCGCAGCTCGGGTGAGTCTGCTCGTGTATTTGCCTTAGGTGACGCTGACGAGATGCGCCCAGCCCTACACTCTCTTACCAGCGTCTTCAAACCACGCAGCCCCTGTCTGACTCTGAGTTGTACGATAAAATCAGACGTACAGTCCTGAACAAGCAGGATCTACAAGTTCTCGAGAGTTTCCTCATCTTCAACAAGTGAGTCTGAAAGCGAACGATTGATTGGTAGCTGACCTTCTCGTAGGCACATCTTGAAGACGAACTTCTATCAACCGACGAAGGTCGCACTGTCGTTCCGTCTCGCCCCTGAATTTTTGCCCGAGATTGAATATCCAAACAAACCTTTCGGAATGTTCATCATTATCGGTAATGAATTCCGTGGCTTCCACATCCGCTTCAGAGATGTTGCCCGCGGTGGTATTCGAATCGTCATGTCGCGGAACAAGGAGTACGTGCGCCTTTTCTGGACTTCGGAATCCTGCAGCTGAGTTCTATGCAATCAGGAACTATTCGATCAACCAGAGAATGTTGTTCGATGAGAACTACGGATTAGCTGCCACTCAATCTTTGAAAAACAAGGACATTCCGGAAGGAGGCGCCAAGGGTACTATTTTGCCTTCGTGCGTGATTTCACTTCCCATCTTTGTATTTTTATATACCTTTCATGCAGTCTTGGAGCGCCGCCTAGACGCTGCTTCGAGAAATATGTCGATGTAAGTGCGCAACTATACATCAATGGATAGATATTGATTATTCAATTAGGCTGTCATCGACCTGCTTATCCCTGGCCAAACTCCGGGGATTAAGGAACGCCTTGTTGATTTGTATGGAAAGCCGGAGTTGCTGTTCTTCGGCCCTGATGGTAGGGTTGCGTGTCCGATGTACCATGCAGGTGACTGACATCTCGTATAGAGGGCACAGCAGACATGATGGATTGGGCGGCGTTGCACGCTCGCGATCGTGGTGCCGAGACATGGTGGAAGTCATTTACCACCGGCAAGAGTGCCGAGCTTTTGGGTGGTATTCCCCATGATACATATGGAATGACGTCGTTGTCTATTCGTCAATATGTGCTTGGCATCTACAAGCAGCTTGGACTAAGGGAGAAAGATATCACAAAGGTTCAGACAGGTGGTCCTGGTATGTTTGCGTCTTTATTTTTTGAAAGTCGTCCTTGACATTTTGCAGACGGAGACCTTGGTTCAAATGAGATACTCTTGAGTTCCGACAAGACCATTGCTATTATCGATGGCAGTGGTGTCCTTGCCGACTCTGCAGGTATCAATAGGGAGGAGCTCATCCGCCTCGCTAAACATCGCCTGACCGTCGCTCACTTTGACAAGACTAAGTTGAGCAAGGATGGGTACCTTGTCAAGGTCGAGGAACAGGACGTTAAGCTACCCTGTATGTTCGGCTTTCTCAAAGTTCGTTGTTATCTCACACGCTGTTGTTAGCCGGCGAAATCGTTCTGGACGGTACCGACTTCAGGAATGGTGCTCATTTCCGTTTCAGGGCAGACCTTTTTGTGCCTTGCGGTGGACGGTATGTTTGCGTTACTACCTGTACAAAACACCAGCTGACGACCATTCAGTCCTGAAGCTGTGAACATTTCTAATGTTGCTGCTTTGACGGATACAGAAGGCAAACCCCACTTCAAGTACATCGTCGAGGGTGCAAATCTGTTCTTCACTCAGCAGGCAAGGTTGCACTTGGAGAAACGCAAGGTTGTCTTGTTCAAGGACTCTAGTGCGAACAAGGGTGAGATTATTTTTATAATATATTATATGGTCTAGACCTTGCTTCAGGTGGTGTGACTAGCTCCTCACTTGAAGTGCTCGCCGGTCTCGCCCTCACGACCCAGGAATACCTCGACCTGATGATCTTCAAGGACGCCAAGCCTTCAGACTTCTATCAAAAATACGTCAAAGAGATTCAAGAAAAGATTTCGGAGAATGCCGCGGCGGAGTTCCACTGTATTTGGCGCGAGCACGCCCGCCTTCAAGGGGCTAAGCCCCGAACGCAGATTTCAGACGAGTTGTCAATGAGGCTCAATAACTTGCAGGCAGAGCTTGAGCTCTCTGACTTGTTTGATGATGTACCTAGCCGCAGGGGTGTCATGAGACGCGCCATACCCACCACCCTAGTAGACCAGGTCGGTCTCGACGCCCTGTTAGAGAGGCTTCCCGAAACATACCAACGCGCTCTATTCTCGAGCTGGGTTGCTTCGCATTACGTGAGTTTAAACCGTGTCTCCTTGTTGCCTGCTCATCCCTAACCTTCGTCTTGCAGATCTACAAATATGGCGTTAACAGCTCTAGTGTAGACTTTTTCCATTTCGCTCGGGATCTCGCACGGTAATATTTGTTTCGGGACTTGACTTTGGGATCACTACGTATTGTACATAGGGAGAGGCCAATAATGCCACACCAGGACCGATAAGCCTGCATAGTAGTGCTTTCAATATGATGGAGTATAATAATGTACCAAATGTGACACGACGTTATAAACCCGGACTGCTATGTTGACTCACCTCTAACATTGTAGAAGATGACATCGTTTACACCAGCAAATAAAAAAAGCATTTGCAACCATTGTTTGCATGAAACCGCAGCTCGAAAACCACAGGAAGCTGACAATAATATCGAGCAAAAGCAAGTTCCGAGCATCAGATGTAAAACTCGAATATTGCAAAACTCTCTGGCGGGGAGTCGAACCCCGCTCTCCCGCGCGCAGCACCTGTGACAGGCGGGTGTACTATCCGATATACTACCAGAGACATGTTAGGGACGAAATAATACTTGTGTAATTATATCTCTAATCCTCGTGCGGTGAGATATACAATCTGAACTTCACTATACAAGAATTGTGCCACTGACGAGAAATCTTGTGGAGTCGAGTGCATAAGAGCAGAACTGTTGAGTAAATGGTTTTGTACCTCTTACATACAGGCTTGAGTATCCCAAGTCAAAGCAGAGAGGTTACTTGCTGCTTGAACTTGAAATTCGAATACAAATTCCACTCCTTTGACTCGGTCACGTGGCTGTGCTTCTACGTCTCTTGGTCCTACTTAGATTATGATTTTCACTGGTCACCGGTCACCTGTCGACCAATAGTTCATAACTGTGGAAGCTATGATACCCCCACCCGTTCTATGCTTCTTTATCAACGATGTTGGATGACATCAGCCGTATTGAAGTAAGTAAAATTACTCCTCTCAAGTATCAACTTGAATCTTGGGGGCAATGTGTCGGCGGCATGGCCTTGGTTGTACACAACAATTGGCTTGGTCCTCACATCGTGGACCAGTGGTACCCAAGGCTTTTTGTTGCCCATCTCCTTCGTACCAGCACTGGATGCCAGTCGCGTTGTACTATGCTTTGACTATGCTTTGACCAAGCTTTGACGATCATTGTTCAGGACCTGGGTGGAGGTCCACTACCATGACAAAGTTCCACATAATTGTGGTCCTCGCCAACCTTATAAATTAACACTGGATTGGAATTGTACCTATCATCGAAAACCAACCTATCCCATCAGCCTATCTATCAACTCATCCCCTCATCTTTTAGCCATGGAAACTGTTGATGTTGAACTCACGTCACAAAGGAACCATCTCTATGAACGTGCAGCATCATCATTCGGAGGCCACAGGAGTCCATACGCAGCTTTCTCCTGGCAGTCGAGCGCTGGCACGCCCGATCGAACCTTGAATAATTCCCCTTGCAGCAGCAACACGACATTGGTCGACAACGAAACTCACGGGCTCGAGTATGACCAACTTAGTCAGGCATCGGTTCAGGAAACTGTGGCAGGCGTCCACTCGTGTCGCATTCAGGCGGCCCAATCCATAAAATCCGAGCTCAACCCGAACGCCACAACATTTATTCCTGACCGCTTTGTAGAATACGGCTACTTTCCTCCCCCCATTCACACACCGGAGGCATGGTTGCATATCCTTGACATTGGCATGCTGGCAACCAATCCCACTTTGCCACCTCTCCTGGTACGGTTGGGTCCATGGTCAATCGATACACTACGCGATCTTGCTCAACTTTTCTGCTGGGAAATTTTAGCCAAAGCGAATATAGTGGATTTTGGACCGGAGGCGGCGCTCTTTGCGCGAGACGTCCGTGATACATTGACGACCCATCACTCCGAGTGGCACTCTAGCTGCTTCGTGTCCCACCTGCAAAAGTACGCCTTAGATTACTTCAAATCATTATGGTGTTCTCTCGTGCGTAGTATCGTAGTTGATTCTGACGGTGCTCACCATCGCACAGGATAATCCGGATGCTATTTCCCAACGGAACAAACTCGAAACCAAACATTGGAATGTCGCGTTAGATTTCTCTTGTTTCATAGCGGACATGTTCTCGTTTGGCCTCATCGAAATACCAATCATGCACGAGTGTCTGGGGATTCTGTTACACGAGATGGTTGGCGTGCAACACGTACGCGCCGTCCAAGCCATGGTTAAACGCGCCGGACCGACGTTATGGCAATCAGCCGATAGTCATGGACGCCGTCAGGAATTCACCAAGCAGTTCGTGGAGCGCACCACATTACTTCCGGATAATGCAAGCCTGACTGGACGAGAAGAAAGCATCCGTAAGGTGATAAAGGTGTGTGTGATATTGCTGGATAGCTTTTATAGAATTTAAACTCATTGTTCACTGCACAGGCTGATAATATCATCTCGCTGATCAGTGAATGGCAAGCGCGGCGGTCAGAGTGCCCTCCACCTGCGGTGAAATCTATTTGGGGACTATCTGGCCTTAATATGTAGTCTATGCGCATCGTAGCTGAGTGTCTCTGAGGATAAAAACATATGCTTTATGAAGAATACCAAGTTTGACTGTAAGAATAGTGTGCTTTGATTCAAGCGCTGGGGTTTGGGTGGCGTAGGATACACCCTGGATGGATTTAGTGCCACACTTGCGGCGTGAATGTGCTCTGTGACGTTCACCTTGAGAGACCCACTTGATAGACAATGAGGTAACTCGAAGAGAGGTTCCGCTTTTGTCAACGGTACACATTTCTCGCTCAATAAGAGTGGCATGAGGCAATGTTGCATCCAAACACTTCGAAGATAATCAGTGAAATGTTATAATCGGGTGCCTATCCAGACCAGCTATCTATTTCTTCAACATAATTTAGCGCGCGTTTATATGCCTGCATCATCATCAACTTTAGGTGCTGGAATATGTGCTCTAGCCCACGAAGACGTCTGGTCCGTCGCGTTCAATAGAGGATCTAGAGGACAAAGTGCCCACGATGTCCCTTCTGACGAATCGGGTGGGAGCAACGCCACCGCTGCCAGTGAGAGGTATGTGTGATAAGGATCTAGGACAACGTTTGCTGCAAAGTCAAAGTGTTTGAAAATGACGTACCAGGGTGCTCGCCGGGAACCTTTGCAATTCCGCCGTACTTGAATTGGCAGGAAGCTATAAAGGATGACATTGCTGCTTTGTCAACCAAATCGCCTGCACCTAACACCTGTTGCGTTGGAACGGGGAAAAATTATTTAGTTTCCATCGACGTTATGGGGACACTACGAACTTACATGCAGCGATGCGCCGCACCAGAAACAATAACATGCGTCGGCGTCCTTGTTAGTCCTTCCACTAAACCCGCCATTAGATGCTTGATTTTGTACAAGCCATCGAACGGTTTTCTGTCGATCTTGAAGGGAAAGAGGGTCTGGTTGTTTAGTAGCTAATCGGAGTGCTGCCAGTGCACAATACGTAGTGCCCCCTGATGAGGGGAGGTGGGATGAGCTTTTATCACATCATAAGGCATGGTGTGCTACCTAGAGCCTCCCCAAACGGTGATTGCCCATAGCCTCCTTCATATGTCTTGAGAACGGCTGTTAAAACAGCTTCCGATATAGTTGTCGCAAGCTTACCCGGCACGAACAGATGAACCGGAGAGCATTTGCGACATCCATCCCTGACCAGTCGTCAAGCATGGTGCTTATGGCGAAAGCACAGAACGTCGTGCGTAGATCAGAGTCACCTCCTAAAGGCTCAGAAGAAAAACTAGGACCCTTGGTCTGTACCTTGAAAGTGCCCGACATGATGTAGGGACTTACCTTCCATCTATGTTCTGACAGGACCTGAGGAATTTCAGGAGACCCTTCCTGTCAAGACGTGAAAAGTCGTCGCGCAATATGGACAGCGAGAGAAGGGCAGTATAAGTCATGATGATCTGAGGGTTATCATGGCCCGAATGTTCCTCTGTCTTCAGACCGGAAATCAATTATGTCTATATAACCAAGGCCAATTCTCACCGAATGTTTTGCAGTCATATAAGAACTCGCTCGGAAGCCAGTCCCATAATGTCCGTCTGGTGACTGTGCTCAATTCTCCAACACATTTGGATCTCAGAATCAGCTCACGAGTCTGTTGACTCCATATCCATTCCCTCCATTGTTCTCTTTCCCAGTCCTTAGTTTTCTTCTCGAGTTCACCCGAAACATCTAGGGAGCCTAGGCAGTAAAAGGACAGGGCAAGCCTGTGATAATCGCGTTAGAATAGCTGCCATCGAGATCAGCGTTGAATAAAGTACTTAGCCGGATCAATATCCACTTGGGAAGATGGCAAGCCGGACAAGCATCTTTTGCAGTGTGTTGCATGACCACTTTTGCTCAGTGGAGGCAAACTTGCTGGCAGCATGGTGATTTTCCCACAAAAGAGTCACCCTTGGTCAGATCAATAAAATGGAAGAGATGGTCCGATTGCTGGTAAACAGAGGGTGTGGTGCTTAGCATATAGTGTTCGCTGACTCTCGCGCGCATTCAAAATCGATGATTGTGGTAGTCGGATCAGGAAAACCGGGCCGTTGTTGTTCGCATGGAAGGTCACCTAACTCACCCAAGCGCGTGCGCAATGCATGAGCCGTTGAACTCCTGCAGTCTCGAGACTTTCTGAGATGAACTATCGAGGAGAGCATTGCTATACTTGATCTAATCTCATATATGAGATCTACTAATAGTCGCCTTTCCAGAAATCAACCTAAATCATGATGACGTATTCGAGTGATCAGCCCTGCCTCATAGATGGACTGGTCACCGGTCCTATGATTCGAGCGTGTTGTCGCGTGTGCTGCTCCCGAGATTTGAAATATGGAGAAGATCCTGCACTCCTTGATTAATCCACTCTCACATAAGATCTATCGCCTTTTGAGAGATCAACCTCAATAAATCATGACGTATTCTAAGAGCATGCTGTCGTGTACAGCTCTTAATATCTTGTTGCTACACAACTGATTAGTAACAACCGGGGTAATATAAGTCCTCGATTCTCTCTCACATGTAAGATTTCGCACCAAGATCAACCGCCTTCCGAGAGGCGGGTTGTGAAAATCCGATTAAGATCTGCGGGGCAGCCTGTGTTGCGAAGGTCTGTGAACTACTGTACCGAAAAAAAACTCGTGTCATATCTTAAGGTCAAATGCTTATAGCATTGTTTTGTCGGTGTATTGTGACGATAGAATGGCAACTTGTCATCATTCGATGAGCATATGATATCCGATTGAACGCATTAGGCGAGCGGTATGAAAGATGCGCGATTTTGGTTCGTTTGCGATGGAAATCCTGTAATCAAGTGATTGACGAGTAATATGAGTACGGCACTGCGATAGAATGGGTTTGATCAGTCGCATAGCGGGGAATAGATGACGAGAAGATCAATCGAATGCTGAATCAAAGCGTTTCTTCCATCACGAAAGCGTTGCTGCGCTGGGATGAGAATATTTCTGTAATCATCCTTGCCTAGC